AACAACAACAACAACAAGTGAGCTATAGTTGACTGAGTAACATTCTGTAGAGTGGTCTGAGTTTTAATGGTATAAAACTAGGAGAATTTTGTTTTTCAGTGCTCACACATTTTAAGTTGTATTTTTTCCTTTCTAGAAGATGACATGAAGATTGATGAGAAATGTGTGGAAGCCGGTAACATTTCCTTTTTAAAGATTTGCCACCATCAGAAACATGAAGTATCTGAGAACTTCATGTTTGTTGTTGTTAAGTGCCACTGAGTTGATTCTGATCCACAGGAGCCTGTACAGGCTTTCTGAGAAGTGGCTGATGAGTCTGAACCACCGACCTTGCAGGTCAAGCTGATTTTGCAGTCCAATGCATTAACCCACACCAGGACTTCATGTTTAAATGATCTAAAACAGAGTGGATCCAACAGGCCACAGGCCTTTCCTCTGCAAGAAATGTGTAAAGTGACACCTCCCACATCCTCTGTCTGTGGTTCTGGCACTTGGAGAGAGAAACACAGCTTGAGGAAGGCCTTCAGGGTACCCAACATTTTAAATGGTCTCTGGAAACACTTGGTAACAGACTATAAGATGGTGGAACACCTGCAAATCACTGTGCTCTTTGTGTTGTTGAACCTGGAGAGGGGAGTCTTGGGGGAGTACTCTAGCAATTCAAGGAGCTCACGAGCTGGTTGTGGAAGGGATGTGGCAGCAGAGTTCCTGGTCCTAGATGGAGTTCCTGTTGGCCTCGGTGTGATCTATGTTCAGTGCACTCAATCTGGAAATATTTTTGGGGGCCCTTGATGGAGCTGGTTTCAGTGTCTATTAGGGAAGCTGGAAGCCTTGAATCTACTCTTTTGCTCTTTAAATGTATTGTTCATTTCTGAAATTATAATGTTAATCTTTTGGATTTCTAGGGCATTTTTGTATTCTTTCAAATTTTACATTTATTTTGTCTGTTTGTTCTGATAGTATTTTCCTGAATTCTTGCTTTTCCCAATCTTTTGTCAATTGTTATAAGGCACCTAAATATCATTCTTTTCAATTCTTTTTAATACAATTCCATTACCTTTTCTTCTTCACCATGGGTGTGTCTGCTGGGATTTCAAATACTAGTGGCATAGCTTCCAGCATCACAGCAACACACAAGCCACCACAGTATGACAAACTGACAGAAAAGTGGTAGATAATTTTGGTGAGTGGTTCCCAAATCCATCAATTTTAATGTCTCCTATTTTATAACTAGTATTTTAGCAATCCTCTACTCTTGTGAGATTAAATTCATAGATAATAAAACCTACCACACACAAAATTTTTTAAATAATGTTTACATAATACAACCTACCACATTTAAAAAAATTAAAATGCAGAGTTTTTAATGTAATATAAAGGAGAAATGGAAATAGAATATATGTCAAAGTTTAAATGCTTCAGGATGACATTTCTATAATATATAAAGAGCTATTAGATGCTTGGGAACATGGTGGCTTCATGCAATAAGGACCAGACTATGTTGAACATTGTCAGATATAGAGCTGGAAGATGAAATCATATGAATAGTAGTAGAACACTGTCAGATATAATACCAAAAGATGAGCCCCTCAGGTTAGATGGCATTCAAAGTACAAGTGGGAAAGAGCTGCCTCCTCAAAGTTGAGTTAAGCATAATGAAATGGATAGAGCAAAGCTTTCAGGAAGTTCATTTGCTGATAGGACAAAACTAAACTTAAAATAAAGAGAAATACCTGCAAACATTCATCAATATTTGGAATATGGATTGTATGAAGTATGAATCTAGAAATATTTGTTGTTGTTGTTAAGTGCTGCCGAGTTGATGCTGACCCATAGTGACCCTGTATAGGATTTCTGAGGAGCAGCTAGTGATCTTGAACCACTAACCTTATAGTTCAAATGACTTTGCAGTCTGGCACATTAACCTGCAGCACCACACCAGGACTCCAGGAATATTAGAAGTTACAAAAAATGAAATAGAACACATAAAGATAGATATCTTAGGCATTAATGAGCCAAAATGGACTGGTATTGGTCATTTTGAATCTGATAATCATATGGTTTACCATGCTGGGAACAACAAATTCAAGAGGAATGGCATCATATTCATCATCAAAAAGAACATTTCAAGATCTTGAGTGCTGTCTGTGATAGGATAATATCCAGACGCTTACAAGGAAGACCACTTAACACCACTGTTATTCAAATTTACACACCAACCACTGAAGTCAGTGATGATGAAACTGATGAATTCTACCAATTTCTTCAATCTGAAATCGATCAAACATGCAAGCAAGAAGCATTGATAATTACTGGTTATTGGAATGCAAACGTTGGAACAAAAGAGAAAGGATCAGTAGTTGGAAAATATGGCCTTGGGATAGAAATGATGCTAGAGATCACATGATAGAATTTTGCAAGAGTTATTCATTGTGAATACCTTTTTAAAACAACATGAAAGATGATGATACACATGTATCTCCCCAAATAGAATACAAAGGAATCAAATTGACTACATCTTTGAGAAGAGACATTGGAGAAGCTCAATATCATCAGCCAAAATAAGGCCAGGGGTAGACTATAAAACAGACCACCAATTGCTCATATCCAAGTTCAGGCTGAAGCTGAAAAAAATTAAAATAAGTCCATGAGAGCCAAAACATGACCTTGAATATTAGAGACCTGAATTTAGATACCATCTCAAGAACTGATTTGATACATTACACACTCATTACTGAAGGCCAGAAAAGTTGTGGGATGACATCAAACACATTATACGGGAAGAAAACAAGGAGTCATTTCTAAAAAACAGCGAAAAAGAATACAACCAAAATGGATGTCTGAAGAAACTCTGAAACTTTTTCTTGAGTGTAGAGAAGATAAAATGAATGGAAATAATGAGAATGTAAAAGAGTTGAACAGAAATTTTCAAAGGGCCACTCAAGAAGACAAAATCAAGTATTATAATGAAATGTGCAAAGACCTTGAATTAGAAAACAGAAAGGGAAGAATAAACTGAGCATTTTTCAAGTTGAAAGAACTGACGAAAAAATGCAAGCCTTGAGTTTCAATATCTAAAGGATTCCATGGGCAAAATATTGAACGGTGCAGAAAACATCAAAAGAAGATGGATGGGATACACAGAATCACTGTACCAAAAAGACGTAGTCAAGATTCAACCATTTCAAGACGTAGTATATGGTTAGGAACAGATAGTACTGAAAGAAGAAGTTCAAACTGCACTGAGGACATTGATGAAATGCAAGCCTCCAGGAATTGATAGAATACAAATAGAAATCTTTCAACAAACTGATACTATACCGGAAACACTCACTCATCTATGTTAGGAAATTTGGAAGACAGCTACCTGGCCAACCAATTGAAAGAAATCTATATTTGTGCCCATTTCAAAGAGAGGTGACCCAACAGAAGGTGGAAATCATTGAACAATATCACAAGCAAGTAATATTCTGCCTAAGATAATTTTTAAAAAGTTACAACAATACATTGACATGGAACTGCTTGAAATGCAAGCCAGATTTAGAGGAAGATGTGAAACTAGGAATAGCATTGCTGACATCAGACGGATCTTGTCTGAAAGCAGAGAATACCAGAAACATGTTTACTTGTGCTTTATTGATTATGCAAAAACTTTTGACTGTGTGAATCATGACAAACTATGGATAACATTGCTAAGAATGCATATTCCAGAGCACTTAGCTGTGCTCCTGAGGAACCTGTACATAGACAACAGGCAGTTGTTTGAACAGAACCAAGGGGATATTGAATGAATTTAAAATTAGGAAAGGTGTACCCCAGGGTTGTATCTTTTATGCTGAGCAAATAACCTGAAAAGCTGCAGAGAAGAATGTGGCATCAGGATGGGAGGAAGGCTCATTAGCAACCTTTGCTATGCAGATGATACAATCTTGCTTGCTGATTGTATATGCAGATGATAAAGTCTTGCTTGCAAAAAGAACTTAAAATACTTGCTGATGAAGATCAAAGTAGCACCTCAATATAAATGAAACAAAAATCCTCACAACTGGACAAATCAATAATATCATTATAAATGGAGAAGAGCTTGAAGTTGTCAAACACTTCATTTTACTTGTATCCACAATCAACACTCACAGACGCAGCAGTCAAGAAATCAAACGATGTATTGTATTAGGCGAAACTTGCTGTACAAGACCTCTTTAAATTGTTCAAGAGCAAAGATACCAGTTTGAGGACTAAGGTATGCCTGATCCAAGCCATGATAGTTTCAGTTGCTTCATATGCATGTAAAGTTAGACAATGAATAAGGAAGACCTTATAAGAATTAATGCATTTCTCCCTTGGAGCAGCTGGTAGATTCAAACTGCTGACCTTGTGGTTAGCAGTCCAATGTGTAAACCCTAGCTTTTTTAACTGACAGCTGAAGTTCTACTTTTTCTTAACCTCCATGAGTTTCTCCAAGGGATGGGTCTTCTATTTAATTAGAAATATTTAGAAAGGAAAAAACAGAGAACATGATAACTGTTTCAAGAAAACATTTCAGTTTGTATTCCGTTTCACTCTCCTTCCAAGGTCCTGTGTGCATTAACTAGACCCTGTGAAAGGAGAGGAGCAAGGACATTCCAGCTTGAGGCTACTGTAGCGCCTCCACCCCAGCGCCCTCCACCTCCACCGTGGGGCTGCAGCAATATGATTCTCTGGGAAAGGAGAGAGAAAGCGCAAATCAGTGGCCTTCAAGACTCACTTTGTGTGAACCAAGTAGAGAGGAGAGAGAGATAAAAAGCCTTCTTGGATAGTCTTTGGAGTCTCTGGGAGGTGTAAACACTTGCCACCCTCAGCTGCTAAGAAGAAAGTTGGATATTCCAGTTCATCCAGAGGCACCTCTGGAGGTCTGCTTCCGGAACATCAGACCCTGAAAATCCTATGGAACACTATTCTACAGTTCTATGTTGCTACACATGCTGTCACTAGGAATCAGGGTTGATCCCACAACAGCTGCAGGATTTTTGCTTGTTTTTATTTCTTGATGAAGTTGATAGTACATCTATAATATTTCATAACCAATTAGTTATTCCATGCATGTTAAAAGAATCACAATTAAAATTTTTATTTTATGTACAAAGTGTTGGTATTGGTTTTGTTGGGTAGATATGTCTTGGGTAATCCATTAAAGATGATCACTTAGTTCAATTTCAAGTCTATATCCTTGTGTACTGATGGAAGAACTGGCAGCACATGTTGAGGCTGGATTTCTGTATCAGACCCTGCTGATTTGAGCACACTCGGCAAGAGCAGGAACCCTGGCCACATTTTCGAGGGTGACTCCAGTACAATTGCTGGTGACCCATCTTGCTTTGAGGAACACACCACAGCAAAAGGCAACAACTGTGGTTTTGTTTGGTTTTGGAGAGTTTTTCAGGCAACTCATAGAAAAAGTTATTTTTCCCAAACAAGAGAGTCAGGTCAAATGAGAGTTTCTGAGTCCTCATTGTATATTGTTCCCTTGCCTGGCTAAGCCTCATCCAAGTTACAATTTCTGTTAGTAATGGCATAATGTTTCACTTTGGTCATTTGCCTTTATTTGATGGCTAACTTAAATTTCTCAATGACTGAACTTTTCCATGTCTGTTTCTGCACTTACTTAAATATCCAGAGGAACTTTAAGAAGGTATTCCTCTTTATATCCCGAGCAAGCCAAACAAAGCTATGTTTAAGGTGTTTCAGTGCCTCAAATTGATCATTGACAGATACCATATTTAAAAAGTTAAATAAATGATTATTGAATGCTATAGAAAATATTTTTCAATGAGCAAGAAAGCAATTAAGCTTTTATAAATACAGTGAAAACTGTGAGAGTAAGAACTTGATGGGAACTGCTTTGTTTTTCTGGGTCTCATAAGTTTTCCACATTGGACAGTGTACAGTCCTACTGCTTTTATGTCATTCTCTATAGTGGAGACTAAGGATTTTTTTTCTCCTACAGATTTCCACATTATAAAGATTTCAGCCTTTGCAAGTTTCATTCTATATTCCTAAATAAAATTTTTCTTTAACTTTACTAGTGTATTTTTATGAGAAAAATGGTATTACTTGTCAAAAACTAGAATGGATATCCATGTGTTTTTTTGTGTTCTAAAATGTATGTTCAGAAACAAAAACAAAGGTTAAGGGAAAAGGGGCAGTGTGTGTCAGTCCATTTCATGAACAGATGCTTTTTATATATTTTAGTGATCAAAACAGAGTGTGGTATAAGTAAAAAAGAATATAGCTAAAAAATAATTTTAAGATGACATTTTTATAAGATTTTTTTCTCCCTGGAGTTTATAGTAATTATTCTGAGTCCCATATTGCTTGTCGTACATGAAAATCCTAATACTCTGTTATGAGTAAAGAGGTTTATTGAGGAATAGATACAGCTTGAACCGGGGAACAGAGTCCACAGCGTTTATGTAGACAAGTGGGGAAGGGAGTCCATGACCACAGCCATGGGAGGCGGGGAGATCCCGCATACTTACAATACAACAAGTCAAAATTCATACGGTTAGCTAATCCACCCTCTAACACAGACTTCCTGGAACCAACCCCACAAGTAATTCTCTGAAATATCTGCCTATGCATAGTTTCTGGGACATGCTGTGTAAGCACTTTCCCAAGACCACCCTAGTAAACATTTCTTCACAAACTACATCCTTGCTTCCTTCATTGTTTGCTGAGAGGGGTTTAAAGTTTTGTAAGAAGTTGACAAGACTCCAAATGATAGACTTCATTTTTAGGGAAGGCAGAAAAAGGACAGTCTAAAGTTTAACTAAAAAAAATTGAATAAATCAATAAAAGAAAAAGAAACAACAAAACAACCCAAAAAGTGGATCCCTGATCAGATCCAGGTCATTAATGTTCAATCTGCCAAGCACCTCCATTTTAAAGTGCTCTCCTCACACAGGCTCCAGATTTTCTGGGTACTTTCCTGGTTTTTGTCTTTCAGGACAATCAGAAACAGTTGGCAGCCATAGAGCAAATACTAATTCTATTCAGAATGAATTATCTTATAAGAAAGGAAATAAAAACTCATATATAGTAAAAAGATTATAGAACCTATTAGAAAATGCTATCTGCAAGTTAAAACCAAAGCAAATTTGCTGTTTTTAAAATAAAAGTGTATACTCAGTCTTTGTTTTTATGATGACTCAATATTTTAGCTATATCTTTAAATAACCTTAAAATAACTTTATACTTTCATATTGTTTTGTTGATTTTAAGCACCATGAGTCAGTATACAGTTATAATAACCCTGAATTGTATTTCCAACAAGCTGCTGGTGGGTTTGAACTGCCAACCTTTTAGTTCATAGTCCAGTGCTGATCCTACAGCACCATACCAGGAGTCCTCAAACATATTATTATTAAGTGCCGTCGAGTCAGTTCTGACCCTTAGTGATCCTGTGTAGGATTTCCGAAGAGCAGCTGGTGATCTTGAACTGCCAACCCTGCTATTCAAATCTACTTTGCAGTCCAGTGCATTAACCCAAAGTGCCACACCAAGGTCCTCAATTATATTTTGTTTGTTGTTGTTGTTAAGTGCTGTCGAGTTGGTTCCGACCCATACCAACCCTGTATAGGGTTTCCGAGAAGCAGCTGGTGAGCTTGAACCGCTGACCTTGGCTTTGCAGTCTGGCACATTAACCCACAGCACCACACCAGGACACCTCAATTATACTCGATAGGTAAAATTCCAAAGTACCTCTATTTAACTAGGTACATGTAAATAATAGGATGGGAAGTGGTCAAAATACTTCTTCCTCATTTACAAATTTGTCTGTGCTGCCATCTACTGAGATAGGTTGCTTCAGAAGTTGAAGCTAATTTAATGCATCCATTCTAACTAAACTTCTCTTCTCCCTCTACATATTCTGATCTGATTGTTCTCTGTGTTCCAGACAAGGAAGAATTTGTTGGCTATGGTCAGAAGTTATTTATTGGTAGGTGATGATTAATTAGAGTTGTTTATTTGGGGCTCATCTCTTTCAAAAAATGTACAGTCATGAGGCAATGGCCCTTGTTTAATTAATCACTATATACCCAGCTCCAGGTATACTGCCTGGCACATAGTAGGTGCTTGATGGGCATTTAGTTACTTTTCCTTCATATTGTTTCCTGTCTTCTAACTTCAGACAGACTTGACTATATTAATCAACACTGTAGGATCACAATCATTGTGTGTTTCATCAGATATGAAGCAAACAGTAAGCTCCCTTGTCTTAGATCTTATCTTCTGTGTGTTTACACCCTACTCCCACCTCAAGCTGGTTTCCGCCCCAGCATGCACCTTTGTCGCTGGAAGTCTCATCTACATCATATGCATGCCAGTGTGTGCTGTACCCCTAGCTGCTACAGCGCGGTGGGTGCCCCTTATGAGGAGGTGGTGTGGTATCAGCGAAGCCCTCCAGACAAGCACCGCCTAATAGTGCTCGTGGGTACGTCTCCCATATAATTGCTTGCCTTACCCATGGGGAGATTTCCTTCTAGATTCATTAACCTTGCATTGGAGTAGTAAGAGCAGAATTTCTTTAAGGATCCCCATAAAAACACTATCTTGTTTTAATAAAGCCTAAATTGTATGCTTATAAATAAAACTTTATTGTATAATGCTTTGTCTACAATTGTATGTGGTATCCCATGGTGCACATGAACTTGTATCATGTTATATTATGATGAAGTTATAAATTAGACGTCTTTGGCTATTTAAAATTTGTTATATATGCTTAGAAGAGTGTTTCCCAAAATCAGATCACTAGTCTGTACTAAAAGAAAACTTCTTAAGGTCCATTTTAAGAAGTTTGTCACCACCCTATTTATAAAAATAGCTAATATCTTCTGAACTGTATCTTTGGTGCTAATGAACAGAGCAAAAAATGCTGGGGTGGTCGACTCTGGAGACGTAGATATCTGCAATACTGGTCCCTATAGCAGTTGCAATTGGTATCTATGGTCCTCCTCTCTATCTACCCCAGGTGGATCAGAGCTGGCCTTGTAGAGCAGAGTAGCATGTTCTACATAATTTGCAGGGTCCAAAGCAAAATGAAAATACAAGAATTCTTTGTTCAAATATTAAGAACTTCAAGCTAACAATAACAGGGTATTAAATCAAGTGTGAGACCCTTGTAAGCATGACTCTTTGAGACTGTACATTGTATATGGCTATGAAGTCAGTCCTGCTTCAGTTGGACACAGAGGTGCTAACTCAAGCTGTCAGAAAATGTGCTGCCTTAATTCTCTGAGTCATTACAGTCACTGAGGCTGATTTTGGGGTTGTGACATGATAGAAATTTCATCTGAAGAAGAAAGTCAGGTTATTTTAGATTATCTGCACTGAAATGAAACAAGAAAATTCCCAGTGCCAATTATTAGATAAAATTTCCTGGAATTATGTTGTTTTTGTTGTTGCTGTTAAGTGCCGTCGAGTTGGTTTCAAATCATAGTGACTGTAGATAGCATTTCTGAGAAACACCTGGTAAGTTTGAATGGCTGATCCTGTGGTTCGCAATCTAATGATCTTGGACAGATAGGCTCTTGTAATTCCCTACCTCATTTGTGAGAGTTGAAAACATGTGAGTTACCTCGCTAGCCACAAGGAAAATTCCCAAGAGCATTTTGGAGTTGTTCCAATTTGTGAGAAGAGGAGTGATGTAATTTCCCTAACAACATTTGCTCTCAAGTGTCTAATTCTTCAATAAAATACTGATGACTTCATCACCACATGCATATTTATTCACATCTGAGGCTTTCTGCTCCCGTAAAGATTTACAGCCTCGGAAACCCTGTACAGGGTCACTGTGAGTAGGAACCGACTCCACGGCATGTAACCAATGGTTTCTATATGTGACTTTTTGTGTTTAGGACCTTCGGGAGTCGGAGTCAATGAACTGAGAGGCTTTACAGATAGGATCATTAGCTTTACATTCAACAAATCCTACACTCGATATTGAACTTAATCCCAACCATTTTCAAAGTACTGTGCCACGTATGTTTAATTTTTCTTTGATAGCAATTCATGTTTCTAAAAACTTTCCTTGCCTCTGACGATGTAATGATCTAACTTACCCATTTCGTACTATTTTGTTGTAAAAATAGAAGACACAAAGAATAGTCCTTAAGTATTTCTAATTATATTTATTTTAATAAAGAGAATTGATTAGCCAATTAAGTTTTTAAAAAGGTGAGTCTTTTTTTCCATTTCTTGGTGATCACATAGATGACCTTTCAGGAAAATTACTATTTAGTGATAATAGTTAACATGCATGCATTCCAACTGCTTTACAGGCAGTGTGCTTGGTTTTGAAAATGCCTTGTCCTATTTATTTTTTGATTCAGCTGAAGCTGAAAAAAAAATTAAAAGTCCACAAGAGCCAAAATATAACCTTGAATATGTTGTTGTTGTTGTCAGGTGCTGTCAAGTTAGTTCTGATTCATGATGACCCTGTACACAACAGAATAAAACACTGCCTGGTTCTGGGTCATCCTCACAATCGTTGTTATCTTTGGGCACATTGCTGCTGCTGCCACTGTGCCAATCCATCTCAGTAGGGATTTTTTTTTTATTTTTTATTTTTATCTTTTGCCAAGGACTGGTCCCTCCTGGCTGTTCACAATCCTGACTTCTAAGGAGCATTCTGGTTGTACTTCTTTAACACAGATTGGTTTGTTCTTCTGGCAGTCCATGGTACTTCTAATACTCTTCTCCAATACTATAACACAAATGCATCAATTTTTCTATGGCCTTCCATATTCATTGTCCAACTTTCAAATGCATATGAAGCTACTGAAAATACCATGGCTTGAGTCAGGTGCATCATAATCCTCAAACTGATATCTTTCCTTTCAGACACTTTCAAGAGGTCTTTTGCAGCAGATTTGCCTAATGTAATATGTCATTTGATTTCTTCCATGAGTGTTGTTGTTGATTTTTTAACTTTTTTATTGTGAATTGAGTGACACTTTACAGATAGCTTTACATTCAACAAATCCTACACTCAATATAAACATACATCTCAATGTTTACAATCCCATCCATGCAATAACAGTTATCCGGCTCCCTCCCTGTGCTTCCTCTTTGTACTCTACTCACCTTCCTATCCCTTCTCAACTTTGTCCTTAGGAAAATGGTGCCCTTTTGATTTGGAATGAGTGACCATTCCATGGTGAGCATATCTTACTCGTGTTGTTGTCCCCACTATAAACCTGTCTACTGTCTGGCTGAAAATTGGGTCATGAGGATAAGTTCATCTCCAGATCTGAAGGGTATTTGAGAGCCATAGTCTCAGGTTCCTCCGATCTCTTTCTGACCAGTAAATCCGGTTTTTAAAAATTATTTTTTATTAAATAATTTTGAGTTTTCCCCATATTTTCTCCCACTCTATCTGGGACCCTCTACTGTGATACCTTTTAGGACAGTTGGTAGTAGTAGTGGGACACTGTCTAGTTCCTCGGGTCTAAGAGTTGTGGAGACTGATGTTCACATGTTCCATTAGTCCATTGAACTAATTGATTTCAAGTATCTTAAATTATTTTTTTTATAAAAGCTTTTACTGTATATTGAGTGAGTGAATGTTTTACTGTATATTGAGTCTTCCATGAGTATTGATAGTGGATCCAAGTAAACTGAAATCTTTCTCCATTTATCATGATGTTATTTATTGGTCCAGTGGTGAGGATTTTTGTTTTCTTTACAGTGAGGTACAACACATATTGAAAGCTACGGTCTTTGATATTCATCAATAAGTGTTTTAAATCCTCTTCACTTTCAGCAAGCAAGGTTGTATAATCTATATATTGCAGGTTGTTAATGAGTCGTCATCCAATTTTGATGCCATGTTCTTCTTAATATAATCTATTTCTCAGATTATTTGCTCAGCATACATATTCAATAAGTGTGGTGAAAGGCATCACACTTCCTGATTTTAAATCACTAAGTGTCCCTATGTTCTGTTCGAACAACTGCTTCTTGGTCTATGTACAGGCTCCTCATGAGCACAATTAAGTGTTCTGGAATATCCATTCTTCACAATGCTATCCATAGCTTGTTATGTTCCACACAGTTGAAAGCCTTTGCATAGTCAATAAAGCACAGACAAACATCTTTCTGGTATTCTCTGCTTTCAGCCACGATCCATGTGATACCAGTAATGATATCCCTCATTCCATGTCCTTCTGAATCCAGCTTGAACCTCTGGCAGTTTCCTGTCAATGTACTATTGCAGCCATTTTTAAATTATCTTTAGCAAAATTTTACTCGCATGTGATATTAATGATATTGTCTAAGGTTTTCCACATTCCATTGGGTCACCTCTCTTTGGAATGGTCACAAATATGGATCTCTTCCAATCAGCTAACTTAGTAGCTGTCTTCCATATTTCCTCGAATAGATGAGTGAGTGCCTCCAGTTTTGCATCAGTTTGCTGAAAGATTTCAATTTGTATTACATCAATTCCTGGAGCCTTGTTCTTTGTCAATGCCTTCAGTGCACCTTGGACTTCTTCCTTCAGTATCATTGGTTCTTGATCATATGATACCTCTTGAAATGGTTGAACATCAACCATTTCTTTCTGGTACAGTGACTCTGTGTATTCCTTCCATCTTCTTTAGATGCATTGTGTATCATTTAATATTTTGCCCATAGAATCCTTCAATATTGCAAGCGGAGGCTTGAATTTGTTCTTCAGTCCTTTCAGCTTGAGAAATGCTAAGTGTGTTCTTCCATTTTGGTTTTCTAACTCCAGGTCTTTGT